GTTTCACCTCCAGTTTACAGGCTTTGAGTTACAGATTGACAACAACAGTAGACAATAAACAACCATAACAGGCTGAGTATTTGTCCGCAGTATAAGGAAAAGATGTAGCCGTTCTGCTATTTGCTCGTTTAGACCAGTGAAAGTACATTTTTGAATGGCCTCACTCAAAGTCTTTGTCAAACTCCTGCTGGCATTTTTACTGCCACACAACAATGCTAATGTACGGCCACAAGCAGCCCCGTTATAAACCTGCTACCACCTCATGATCTCCTGGACTAAGACAAACAGTCCGAGGGGGTCAGAGGAAAATGTTGTATCGGTCTGACATGTCAAATCCCCTCCACCTTTAGGTGCCGTTTGTGTGCCGCGGGGGCCTATCACCGGCCATCATCGCCCAATCCCACCCCCTGCAGAAGCCCTCATTAACATTGTTGGGCCGTGTTCAAAAGCAGATGCCTGCGGATGAATTCGGGAGTACAGTGACACGGGCACATGCCTGCGTGTGCTGCAGCCAACCTGGTGGCGTGTGCGTCTGGATCAGCTGTCAGACGGACAGTGATGGATGCGCGGTGGAAATATACTTGGAGTTCGAGCTATGTCCTTCTCATTGAAGTCCTCTGGCACCCTGCTTGACCTCGCCGCAAGGCAGCAGCCGCCCTAAAAATAAAGGAGGCCATGTGCGCGCATGCAAGCAGAGACAAGGGTGTAAGATATCAGCTCTCCTGATGTCTTTGCTTGGATACAAAGGAAAACAACACAGAGTGAAATAGCCACATGCTCTCACGCAAACTTTGCCCACCGGAGTGGAATCAGCCTCCTGTTGTTAGGCTCGGATCAGGGTATCCACGGGCTCCACTTCCACCAAGCTCAAGTCCAATCAGCGTGTTCCCGGCATCAGAGTTAATACCGGCTCCATCATCTTGAGTGCTTTCATTAAGGGAGGGACATTTTTATTCCTGCCGCAACCAGAATCACGAGGAAACTAGCCGCGTGCTTCAGTTTAACCTGGTCACCATGGCAACGTAGCATCTTTTTGTGTGTGTGTAATTTTTGTTTTTTTCGACTTCAAAGTTTGATTGAGATGCCACTTGAAGGATGGTTCATCTCGAAACGACGGAGGAGGGGGGGAAACGTGAAAGAGAAGAATGGCGGCATTGTGGAAGCCGGAGCCGCATAATAGCCGCAGTTCACAGCTTGGAACGGCGTAACCCTCGGCAGCGAAGAGTATCTGAGCGTGACGACAATATCCACCTTCACATTCGATTTGACACTCAGTAGGTCTGCTTATTAGCAAATACATTCCCGCAGCAAATAGCGTTTTGATCGTTTGTTTCAGAGCATCCAAGGATTTCACGTCCTTGGCATGTGACTGAAATGAACTCAGCTACTGTCGGTTAGATTTGTAAGAAGAAATATTTTCTGTTCTAAGTAAATATATATATATATATAAATATTACAAAATGTAAAGGACAAAAGTCTCCTGAGCTGATTCCTGATGAGGCCTTTGATTTTAGATGAAAGAATCAATCAAACACAGATCGACGGCCTTCTGCTCATCGAAAAAAAAAAAAAAAAGGTAAAAATGCTCGAAATAAAAAGACAGCTATGAGTCACGGAAGTAAGGGGAGTGAGGATGGAGTGTATTTTGAGCCGCGGTGCTCCTCAGTTCGACAAAATCTGGCAACCGACGTCTTCAAACCTCACACTTCATTTTCTCGATCACTGATTTGCGACATGTGGGATTGCTGAGGGGAATATGTTTGTCCTCACGTGGGTTTGTCGATAAATGATGTAACGGATCGTGAACAGAAAATACATGTTCTAGTGCACTGGTTCTCAAACTGGGAGTCGGGACCTCCATGGGGGTCCCAAGATAATTTCAGGGGGTCGCCAGATCATTGTAAAAAAAATAAAATAAATAAAATAAAGCCTACATTAATCAAATAAATTTGCATTAGGGCTGTCAAAGTAAAAGTGTCCACTTCTTCCCACTTCTTTATCGGACTTGTTAGTATGATTTGATTATGCCATATTATTATTCTTTTTTTCTCTTGTTAGAATCATTTTCTTCTGTTTTTATATATTTTTTTCACTTTCATTTGCTCGAAATAAATTCAGTTCATTCAAAAGAAAATTAACGTGTTAATTTAAGAGATTAATCTGTGGAATTAACACATTCATTTTTAACACAATAATGCACGAACAACAAAGTTATTACTAATCATGATATGTTAAAAATTCTAATTGGGGGGTCACAAACACAAACTTATGTTATCTTGGGGGTCGTGGCTCAAAAAGTTTGAGAACCGCTGCTTTAAAGTCTGAGACAACGGAGGCCCGTTCTGGACGGGATGTGACCATAGACTGTATAAAAGATGGACGTAGCAACCGGCCCTGAAAAATGAAACCAACCCGGAAGTGTCAAAAACCTGCAATATCACTACGACCGCTAGCTGCTGGCTCCAAAAAGCTCTGGCTCCCATAGACTGGAATTGGAAAAGAAGTGATCACAGATCATGAAATACTGCATTCCTACAGCTCAGGATTTTTTTTAAAATTAGTTTTTATGGTCAAATCCAGAGATCAGGTGGCCAATCTGAAAATAAATCAATACTGAATTTTTAAAAAATCGTCAACATTTTGCGGGGCAAGGGGCGTGGCTGGCTTGATTGACAGTCGGCAGCGACGATGCAGACAAAGCGAGCAGAAGGCGGTAAATGTGGGCGGGCAGAGAGGGTCCGCCTCTCAATCCATCTGACCAATCGCTGCTCCTATGGCTCCGCCCCCCTCTGACAATTTTTGCGTCACTGGCTCCAAAAATCCCAGATGTCAACCAGGAAGTAGCAAAACCCTGGCTTAATTTTCTCAGTGCAGAAACCAACGGGTGACGTCACCGTAGCTACGTCCATCTTTTATATAGTCTATGGATGTGACGCTCAAAGGGCGTCGCTGTGTTACTCAGAGGAGCAACCAGACGGAGACGGAGGCTGACGAGGGTCACTGGGCCCCTCTACAGGATGGATCATCGGCAGGACAGCAGAAATCTTACCAGTGGCTTCAAAAGGCCAGAACAACCATAAATAAGGCGAGATGTCTCATCCGCGCTGCCAGCCAGTGGAATCGCACGGCCACACTGGCGGCCATCTTGGTACGGTGCGCTCGCTCACCCATAACATTGTGTTGTAGAGGTGCATGTACTTTTTAAATAACCATAACTTGCTCAGTTTTCAAACAGGTTGGTTTGTTATAAACGTCAGAGGTGTAGTTATAACACTGACGGATAATTATGTTACCCTCTAACGGCCAGCAACAATTAGTATTTCAATTATTTTGTATTCTATTTGTATTTTTGTCATTTGAATTGTAGCCACGTCAATAACGTTTGTAAGAAACCAAACCGTCAAGATTTCAGCGAGATAAGAGTTTTTACGTTTGTGCAGATCGCTCACCTTCCTTCACGTACCACAGGTTCCTCCAGAGAGCTGCCCCGTGGCAAGATGGCCGCCGGTGATCCCGTTCGAAACGTCGCCTTAAGACATCTAGCCTTTATTATATCTATGGGAACAACAGCATGGAGGCTGTGATCACGGCGGCACAGATTTTCTTTGATTTACATTTGAATTGTTCTTTTGTACACGAGAGAATTTAAACGTCTGAATCCGATTTAAATAGTGACTTCATTACCTGACTTTCTGTGTTTTCTTCTTTGACGTCAATAAGGATCGTCTCACTTCTCTTTGACGCTGAGCAACACAAACTACATCACATACAAACAGCTTTGGAACGAGGAGCATTTCAGAATCAACACATTTACTCTTTGGAAGGCACAAGATGATGAAAGCCTCTCAGAAATGTGACCAAGGAGAATTAGATCACGATGCATTCTGGGTAAGACGTTCTCCTCAAGTGTGCATCCTCCATCCTGGAGGGTCAATGCCACTGAAGTCCACTTGAGCTTTTTTCCAGTAATGGAACTGCGCTCAAGACGGCAGCGATTCACCAAAGAGGACAATGAGAGCTTTGAACACAGCGACTAAAACCCACAGCTGGAGTCACTCAGCTAGTTTTTGTGTATTTAGCGTTTTGGGTTTGTGACTCACTCTTTTGAAGGTAGATGCTTTCCAGATACTGTTTTTGTTTTTACCTGATCTTGATGGGAGTAGAAACTGTGCAGTGCAAAGATTTAAATCTCAAACTAAAAACAGTAAATGTCCCACAGTGTGAGCCGTGGATAAGTGTTCCAGTAGATCTTTAAATCCGACCATTACACCTTCTTAGTTTGTCTTTTGGGAGAAGTGTGAGGCTGCAAAGAAAAAAAAAAAGCTCCCCCTCATCAGCTGTGCCGACGTGTTCCCCCGATGTGTTCAAGGAAACATTTTCCATTTAAGAAAATGTTCTGCTGGTTGCGTGAGGCCACTTTGTGACTAGCTTAGCTTAGCATAAAGACTGGAAGCAGAGGGAAACAGCTAGCCTGGTTCTGTCTAAATGTAACTAAATGAACCTATTAACTCCTTTAAAGCTCACTAAATAACACGTTATACTTTATTTTTTAAAATATTCATCTAAAAACTGAAGCGTAAAAACAACACGATGCTATTTTACACACATTATGTGCTCACAGGATTATTATGGAACTGTTTCTTGGCTGGGACCAAGACAAATAAACTCCGGGAAGATACAGGATTTTTTTAAAAAAAGAACTTTTGGAATATTTTACTGTTATTTTACAGATTTTACCTCTTTTGGTAAATTTCAGATAATAACTAGTAAAATCACAGACAATAAAAAAACAAAAATTAAATAACACTTGAGTCTTTAAAAAACGTCCAAAGCTGTACAAAATATTAACATTAAAAAAAGTTGGGTTTTTTTGTTTTTAAATTAAAAATCATTATTTTACACTCAGAAGTGTATTTAAATGAACACTAAACATAATTAAGATATTTGTGGTTATTTAAAGGAAAATTCATGTATGTTAAGGATTGAAAAACGAAAAATACAGTTTAAAGAGTTATATTTGTTCTGTTAAATCACAGACAAAAAAATACAATTTAATTTTTTTTTAATTTAAATAATTAAATTTAAATTAAATTACATTTTAAAAACACTTAAATCTTTAAAAAAAAAAACAGCCCAAAATTGTACATAATATGAACATTAAAAATATATATTTTTATAAATGACAAATCATTTTTCATGCACCCAAAAGTGTCATTAAATCAACATTAAATCTAATCATTTTCCAGATATTTGTGGTTATTTAAAGGATTATTTAAAGGAAAATTCATGTATAATAAGGATTAAAAAAAGAAAAATACAATTTAAAGTTTTTTTTGCTTTTTTTTTTTTTTAGATTATTCCTGTTTTGTTAAATCAGATAGATGATAATATCTGGTAAATCACAGAAAAAAAAAAGGTAATTTACATGTTGACTGTAAAAAACAGGTCACAACTGTATGTAAACAATCTGACTTTTAAAAATAGTACTTTGCTCCATTACAATATATGACTACTTTTTAAAATGTATTTCAATCAGTTCCAAACATAATTTTTCAGATATTTGCCATCATTTTTTTGTCACCTTTTCCATCCGATTTAAAAAATTTTCTGTAGATTTGTTGATTTTTTTTACCCAGGCAAGAAATATTCCAGCACCTAACCACCTTTAAATTGTATTTTTTTTTGCAATGTGAAATCTGCACCATCAGTAATCAGCGAACGTGTAAATGTGCGAAAACGAGAACGTTCAGCAAATCCAGTAAAACGCAGCACGAGTAAGACGTTTAAAAAAACCTTTCCAGCAGCTGTTTATTGTGCTTCCTCCGGCAGACTACCTTCCTCGCCGGCGTCCCATTCGGCGGCGGCAACACGGTTAGATGTTTCATTTTAGATAAGAGACAATTATTGTAGCACATCACACGCACCGTCGTTATCAGCAGAAAATCTCAAACTGCACCACAGAATGCAATCCAGATAGCGCGTCCCCGTGCCCTTGGTATTTAATGACATTTCTTTCTGCCCAGGAAGATAGAGGGAATCCATCAGAGCCAGTGTTTGGGAAATGTTTCTGTCTTTTTTGAACTGGGCCACCGGTTTCTCATGCAAAAAAACAACAACAACAACAAAAAAACACATTTACAGTAGGAAAGCTAATCTGAACATCCATGTTGTTATGACAACCACGCTTTTATACGACCACATTACCTGTTTCGTTTGAAGATAAGAGATGCACAAAATAAAAACAAAACAGTGGAACAAAAATGTGAATTTATTTTCAGTTCCCTTTTTTTTTTTTTCCCCCTGCAAATCTCCTCGTCTAAACACTGTCAATTTCAGTTCAGCTCTCACACCATTATGATTCACAGAGGCCAAGCATGAAATGAGTTTCTCTTTTTGACAGAACGCGTTTTGACTGACAGCTCAACAAATGAGAAATCATTTACTGTGAACAGAGCGCCCGCCTGCTTTTGGCAAGAGATGCTGCCTATCTGTGTGTGTGTGTGTGTGTGTGTTGAAATGGCTGCAAAAGTGGATTTAATGTAAGGTCTTCATTGGCAGCAGCAGCTCGTCTGACAATCTAAGAGACAGTTTACTCCAGTTTCCAGGGTGAAAATCTTTACATGGAGGCTCCTGATTCTGAGTAAAACGTAAATAACTCGATTCATTTAGTTAAAATCTAAATAAACATCATGCTTGACTTTTTGTGGAGATGATCCACACTCAGACGAGATGTGTTCACGAGGAGGAAAGCAATAACTATCTAAATTTATTCAGCTAAAAATGAGTCCCGAACACGAGCTGCTCATCGTACCCGGACCCACAAAGAACATCCTGGCAAAGCCCCTGAATTTAATGAAGGGTGGATCTCTTTAATTATCTTATTTTTTCCCAAAGTTCCAAAAAAAAAAGTGTTTCATTTGCAAAATTGTGCAGAAAAAAAATATTACGGAAACGTTGCCTGAGGTGGAAGAACTAGTGCGTCGATAAAAGCTCAGTGTGAGGAATTTCAATAGAAAGACTTCAGCTCGACCGGAAAGATGAAAAAACGGCAGAAACATCAGATCTGTGTGGAGAGATAAGGAGGCTGCAGCATCCCTCAAAAGAAGACATAAAATCGACATCAGAACCGCGTTCGTCACATCGTTTTCTATTGTTTGAAGTTTGACCGTTTGGCCATATTTCAACGCGGATCAACCGAACCGTTCATCTCCAGCCACCCAATTATCTCGATAGAACAGCGTTGAATGGAAATCGGCGTTAATTCACATTTTCTGGAACATTTTTTTTAGGATTTAGATGGAAAATTTGAGCATCGTGTCACTTTTAAATCACAGAAATTAGGAAAACTATTAAAAAAACATTGCTTAATGCTGGAATATTTCACAAAAATATTTTAAAAACATATCAGAAACGCCAAAATCACCACAAACTACGGTTTTAAAATGCCCATAAAATAGAATCAATACCCCCCAAACGTACAAATAACCTTTCAGGCAATCCTTTATTCAGTTTTTCCACTAGACTGCACCAGCTTCAATCAGCTGCAAGTACAAAAAAATGACAACATGAGTGTACAGAGGTTTGACTAACAGTCCAGCTGGATGCTGTGTAATATGTTTGAGTTTCTTTAACTAATAGGCTTCAATCTGCTCCACTCTTTATGGACGCACCTCCATTAAAAGGCCAAAGATCATCGCGACAACGAAGCGCCGCATTAACCCGGAGAAACGACGCTTTAAGACGAGCTGCGGCATAATGAGGTGAACACAAATGAAGTGCATCGCGACCAAGCTGCTGCTGCTCCTCTGCAGGACAACTTTTTTTTTCTCACTTTGCCAGTAATGTTTTTTTTTTTTCTTCTCCATACTGTTTCCTTTCACAGAGACACACAGATGGGATGTGCAGACAAATGCAAACACTGACTGTGCACTAAATTAAACAGCTCTTCCTTTCCTGCACTAACAGCTCCACCAGCAAAACGCCTGAATCGTGACGAGTAAGTTAGTTTTTGCAGCTGAATGAGTTTTTACTTTTTATTCTACACATGCATGTAAAGAAAAATCAACAGTGGCAGGACTCTGTGAATCTGGATTCAAGTGTGATGCTGCCATCTAGTGTCTGAAAATGTTTACTTCTCTCATTTTAGATTTCTATTAAATTATAAAACTGTCTTTGCAGGATGTGTCCAAAAAATCTGCCGGATAAAGAATCTGACATCACCACTATGACCACGATGTTTTCAATAAGATTCTGATGATTTGAACTTCAAACTGGGCGTGCTAAAGTATTAGCATGTCACCGTCCCGATGCTTAGGGTCTGGAGCGTGCATACAGGACGCCGTGAAACAACTCAGAACAAAACAAAAAGAATCTTGTGTTGTATTTATTACTTTTAAGATTTACAAGTTATTTCACATTTCTTTTGTTTTTTGTTTTTTTTTTAAAAAAGGCCAACAACTCTCTGGTGGTACAGTTATCCACACACAATGAATGAGAACAACTGCAGAAACGTCTCCAGATGTGTGCAGCCTATCAGATCACGGCCAGCAAAATTGCGAGCGGCTCTGAAACTGTCCGATCCAAGAATAGCAAGCGCCCCCTTTACACCTGGCACTAAGATGTGATGTGAATCTGGATAGGAGAGGGAGGAATAATGGGAATAAGTGTGACTGCACGCAGAGCTCGTTGGGTTTGGTGTGTAATCACAGACTGTATAAAAGATGGACGTAGCAACCGGCCCTGAAAAATGAAGCCAACCAGGAAATGTCAAAAACCTGCAATATCACTACGTCCACTAGTCCTGGCTCCAAAAAGCTCCCATAGACTTGAACTGGAAAAGAAGTGAATCCAGAGATCAGGTGGCCAATCTGAAAATAAATCAATACTGAATTTTTAAAAAATCGTCAACATTTTGCGGGGCAAGGGGCGTGGCTGGCTTGATTGACAGTCGGCAGCGACGATGCAGACGAAGCGAGCAGAAGGCGGTAAATGTGGGCGGGCAGAGAGGGCCCGCCTCTCAATCCGTCTGACCAATCGCTGCTCCTATGGCTCCGCCCCCCTCCGACGACTTTTGCGTCACTGGCTCCAAAAATCCAAGATGTCAACCAGGAAGTAGCAAAACCCTGGCTTCATTTTCTCAGTGCAGTGACGTCACGGCAGCTACGTCCATCCTTTATACAGTCTGTGTGTGTAATCAGATAAGTCAGGATGCATTTCGAGGTGGTCGAGCTTCAACTGCAAGCTGACACGTTAATGAATAAAGTCCATTTGTTGCCGTCCTCGCATTAACTCACAAGTTCACCAGCTAGCACCTGTTTGCATCCTGAGAGTACGGGCAGATAATGACAATACATTTTTCTCTACTCGGTGTAAAAGCGAAGCTCCAGACGTCGTTATCCAGACAACTCATCACATGTTAATACCGGCTGTTAACGGGGCCAACAAGACCAAAAGCTTCATCGCTCTGCCGTTTCAGCATCACTAATAGTTGGGTGTTTGTATCTTCTGTAAAGATCAACGTAGAGGGACATGATGAGAGTACAAAATGTGTGTATGTGTGCATCTGTGTGTGCTGCTTATACACACACACACACACACACACACACACACACACACGCGCTCAAACAAACAGGGGAAATGGCAAACAACCTCAGCATCACGCTTCAAAGAGTTCATTTAAAACAGTATTCAATCAACTGAGACAGAGGCTGAAGATGAACAGGGAGGCAGACAGACACACAGGGAGGAGGGGGGGAAAGACAGAAGAGAAGTAGTGAGGGATCTTGGGAATTCCCTCTAGCTTATGATTCTTTTAAAAAAAAGTTCCTTTAATCAAAGAGGATCCAGATAATCTCATCTGTAATCTCAGTTTAAGAGCAGGAGCTGGCGAGTGGCTCTGCCCTCTCCTGCCTCTCTGGGTTTTAGCTACGTGATGTCCTTTAAATGATGTTCAGGGCTCGTTCACTAAGTTCACTGTGTTGTACTTGCTAGTTGCCGCCGCCGCCGCCGCCGCAGCACTGGCTGCTGCGGCCCTGAGGGCTGGCTTCTTGTAGATCCACTCCCGTCTTCGTCCGCCCGCCTTGTCCAGCTCCGCCCTGAGGATCGTTCTTCGGTAGCTTCTTTGCTGCAGGGGCAGAATCGCAGATATTTAGATGCGACCACAAGACACAGATTCCACCAGTGATTCTCAATCCTGAGCACTGGACAAGATACTGAAGTAAACACATGGTTCTGCTGCACAAAATGTTTTTTTTATTTTATCTATAACTCACTGGAATGTGCAAACTGGACTAAAGGCTTACAAGTGGCCTCGTTTTGAGTAATCACGTGATAAACAAAGAAAGTGTTGAATCACTTTTCACAACCTCTGACACCGAGGAGACAAATCTTCTAGCCTCGTAGTTGTCAGGGAAAAAAAAACAACTAAGGATCCTTCAGGTGGTTAAAAACAAGTAACCTGTGCTCTCAGATTAGTTGATTAAGCCCTGTTTGCATGGGACTAGTATGACCTGGGGGCCCCAGTAGTTTGCATTGATAGCTGAGGCCTTAAAGTTAAAATCAGGGGTCCTGTGACAGTCCGTCCATTGTGAAATGGCATCTTGGAGATGTTTTTTTGGTGCAAGATTATGTTTTCTCTGCACTTTTCTACTTCCCCTTTCCAGCTTGACAACTATGGAGGATGTGTTGGTAATTAAAAAGAAAAATTCAGACGGTATTTTGGGTGGGATTCAGGAGGCTTACGTCATTGCACAGCATGGAGACCAAATCACAGAAAAAGCAAAACCTCCAACGATGGACAGCGCATGATCAGGAGCATCGGGAGTTCTTTCAGCAGTCTAAACTGTTATGTGGAGCTCTACTACTGTTGTATCAGGAGATATTGTGAAAAAGATTTGTGCAAATGTGGCACAAAAAACACATTCGAAATCTTTCAATATTCTGCAAAGGTTGCTTGATTTTAATTGTTGTATTCTGAAGAGAGAGTTTCCTCCAATTTTCCTTCCTGTTTTAAACATGTATTGAAACTTTTAGACACTATTTATTGTTCTATGTCATGCTAATGGTTAGGAACAAATACTACTTCAAAAACTTGTTTCCCTCGACACCCGCTAGACTTTATGTCAGGAAAGTGATTTTAATCCACTGAAAACTGCATTTTATTTTTGTTTTTTTTTGGCTAAAGGAATGGGAGCAGCAGGAAACTGAAGCGCTACCAAAAAGCATCCGTGGGTGCAGTTAGGAGGCAGATTTGATCTGATGCGATACTTACCAATAGCCATGAAAATTTCATTGACATTCATGGCAGTCTTGGCTGAGGTCTCCATAAAAAGTAGACTGTTGTCATCGGCATACGTTTGTGCCTCCTGAGAATACAGAGGAGAGTCGGCTGAGGTTTATTACAGCTTTATGTTAAAAATAAACTCAAGGTAAGAATTTGAAAATCAGAGTTTTCACTATTAAACTGAAACATTTCTGCATACCTGAAGATCTACGGCTCTCTTGTTGGCGATGTCCGCCTTGTTGCCAGCCAGAGCGATCACTATGTTGGGGCTGGCTTGTCTTTGAAGCTCCTTCACCCAGTTTTTTGCACGTGCAAAAGTGTCCTGATAAAGCAGCAAACTTGATTAGCATTCTTCTCACCGGGCGTAATTATAATTACAGCTATTTTCAACTTTTCACTTTACAGTACGACCATGACGTGACCTCAAAACACTCACACAGTCTGAACACCTCCACGGGTCTAATTTTAGACAAGACGTAATGAATTTTTAAACACCGAACCTAAACTCGAGGAGTGTCTTGAATCCTTAAGTAACACCCAACACACAGAAGACCTTAGATGACCAACATGGTTACATTTGGCACATAAACCTACTGTGTTGGTGATGTCATAGACCACGATGGCCGCCTGAGCGCCTCTGTAGTACATCGGAGCCAGGCTGTGGTAGCGCTCCTGACCTGCTGTGTCCCAGATCTCAAACTTCACAGTGGTGTCGTCCAGGCAGACAGTCTGAGTAAGGAAGGCAGCTGAAGAAAAAAGAACAATCTGCTTAAGTGGAGGGTTGATGTACTTAGTGATGTTCCTGGATGAAACTCCTGTTTATGCTCGGAAGTAGGTATCAATTCAGATGAACTTGGGCACAAGTTTCATGGCATTCTTCACATCACAAAACAATTAAATCTTCGCCTTTCAGTGATCAATATGCAGGAAAAATAAAGGATTATGTTGGAATTATTTTGACAGATACTGCAATTGTGCCTGAAAATTGTTGTCAGGAAGCTACGTTCAGAGCTCAGACGTAGTGCAGCACCCCTGAAGCAGATACAGCTCAAGGACCCAACAAGTAGCAACTTGTCAGTGCTGAGACTTGAACAACATATCTCATAATCAATAGCCTTAACCTTTGAACCATTGCTTCCTAGTGCTAGTCATGATTTAAGTGGGATTGGTACATTTGCATTCCTTTCCCAAAATGATCTGTAGTACCAACATGCTTCATCTGTAAAACGCATGGTGCTACATCTATTTTCGGGAATATAATAAGAAATTGAAGGTCCAAATGTGGTTTACAACTCCACAAAGGCTACTAAGAGGACCTGAACGTTCTGATAACTTTTTCATGCAAAACCCAATTCAGGATTACAACTGGAAATGTTTCTGTTATCTTTTACAATTTGTGTTCTGCAATAAAAAATGAAAATCTTTTTAATATGAGCGTCGTGTTGTACCTATTGAACATAAAACTAAGTGAGCTGCATGTATGCTAGGGTGGGTTTCAAAGCTTTGGGTAGCGGTCAGGCACCATAAACGGGCAGAGGCTGTCCGGTAGAATCTATAATCTCCTTCACCTGATCTTTGTTTACATAGTTCCTGATTTAAAGCTAAATTTCTGTCATTTTATTTACGCAAAGTTCTTATAAAGCTGCTTGTTATTAGACGAGATTCAACATGTGAGAATTCATCTCGGACAATATAAATATGAAACACATATCCACAAAATAGGTTATCAAAAAGTATTGTTGTGGTACCGTATAAGGACAAATATCAATTCATCCATCCATTATCTATACACCGCTTAACCCTCACTAGGGTCACGGGGGGCTGGAGTCTATCCCAGCTACTACGGACAATTTAGAATCACCAATTAACCTCAACATGTTTTTGGACTGTGGGAGGAAGCCGGATAACCCGGAGAGAACCCACGCTGCACGAGGAGAACATGGAGACTCCACGCAGAAAGATCCCGGGTGTCCTCACCGGGACACGAACCGGCGACCTTCTTGCTGCGAGACGACAGTGCTAACCACCGATCCACCGTGCAGCCCATACCAATAAATTACTAACAATATTCACTGCTTCCATACACCTAACAACATAATCCATCTACTAAGACACTCAAAGCTTTACCACTAAATTTTGTCCCCCAAAAGTCGAGCAACACGTTTCCATCTCTTACCTCCGATGGTGCTCTCCTGGAATTCATGGAACTGGCCTTTGACGAAGCGCAGCACTAAGCTGGACTTGCCCACCGCCGACTCCCCCAGCAGCACCAGTTTGAACTGGCAGATTTTATTTGTTGCTGCAGCACCATTAGGCCTGCTCGCTCCTCCACCACGCCCAGCCATTGACAGACAGAGACCGTTATGGATGAGATGGTCGGAAACTACAGGTCGGCGAGGTGTGAAGACGGGAGAGGGCTCTGGAAACACAGGCACCGACGGTAAGTGAGGTCAGAGATCAAACTCCTGATGTCAAAAACCAGATGGGCCCGAACAGCAGAGGACTGACCCCGGTTGCCTTGAGAAAAAAAAAAAAAGAAGCATCAGTGGATCCAGGTATAGGAACACATGCTTTTGTCATTTATTACACAAAAACATTTTTCATGTTGCAGACCTGAGCACGAACTTTTAAAGAATTACATTTCAAAACAACCAAAACTCGGATACAGCTCGTATACCGGCTGTGCTGCTTGTATTTAGGGTTGTTGACTCCTGTCCAGATTTCTGTTGGTTGATATTTGAATCCATAAAACATCAGATGATAGCGGCAATTTGAGAATGATTGTTTACTATGCAACAAAACAAAGATTTGTGGAGCAAATCTTTACATTTCAGAAACTAAAAAAGCATATTTCTGTCATCCGTTTTTGGAAAAACATCAACCAAAAGTGGTGCATGTAAATTTCATAACACTTGACTAATCAGTTAATCAGCTCAGTTTTCAGGTCTACAAGTGGTGTCTCTATTGCACTGAGACACATCTACAATAATACACAATCCATCCATCCATTATCTATACACCGCTCAATCCTCACAAGGGTCGTGGGGGGCTGGAGCCTATCCCAACTGACTCAGGGCGAAGGCACGGGGACACCCTGGACAGGTCGCCAGTCTATCATACGGCTACACTTAGAGACAGACAACCAAGCACACTCACATTCACACCTACGGACAATTTAGAATCACCAATAAACCTCAACATGTTTTTGGACCTTGTGGGAGGAAGCTGGAGAACCCGGAGAGAACCCACACTGCACGGGGGAGAACATGCAAACTCCACACAGAAAGGTGCCCCCACCGGCGACCTCCTTGCTGCGAGGCGACAGTGCTAACCAACTGCGCCACCTTGCAGCCCATAATACACAATACAGTAGTGAAATATGAATTGATAATAGGTTATATGAAATAAAGAATCACGTCAATGAACAGAGCAAAACATACATACATGTGAGGCACAATGTTAAATAGATACTCATCTTCCAAGATCAGATAAAACAAGGAATTTGAAGATGGCCCCTTAGGCTCTTGGGAACTGAAAAATGATTAACCTGTCGATATTTCGCAGATGAATCAACAAGTAGGGCAGTGGGGCCGCAGAACATCGGAAGAAGTTGACAGTGTGGTATTACGTTTTACTGTGATGTGTATATTGCGATAATTGTGTGTTTTTTTGTCTGTTGTTTTTCTTTCTCTTGCTCACTTTTAATGTGTCGCTCTTTGCCCACGTAATTGCCCCTCAGGGATAAATAAAGTTTTTTCTGATTCTGAAAACTCATTTTGACCACATGACTTGAATAGCTCCATTTGGAAAGAATTATCAGTCTAAAATGACAGGAGTGATTTTACAGTGCATTTGCATTAAAAAATGAAAAATAATTTTTTTTAAAAAGCTGAAAACCCCCACCTGAACCCACTCTCTGATGGTGTAACACTGACAAAGGCATTCGAAACGGTTTTATTTTTTGCTTCGGATATCATCACATCTGGCCTTCTAGCTTTGTGGTGCTGATTTCTGTGGTCGAACAAATTAGTTGTGTTGCCTCGTGCTGTCACAATAACTGCAAGATGAGTGGCTGCTTTTTGTCTTTCTGCAGCTGAAATGCGTCTTTTTGTAATCACATCATATTTTTCAGCGCTCCTCTTCGATTCCTCACTGATTTTGCTTTGAACCTAAATCCGAGTGCATTGTGTTCTATCAGACAGGCTGCTTTTGCGCCAGTTTCCTTTTAATATAAAGCAGCAAAGAAAGTTTTAGCACAATGTATTAAGGTACTTTTCCTGTGACATAACTATTGCACTTTGCATCGCCAGTGCTGAAACAATTTATAGTGCATCCCTATTTAGCTGTATTTGGTTGTAGATATTCTTGTACCAGAAACACTTTAGTTTCATATCGCATGTTATGGCCGGATGTCAAGCAGACCAGTTAGTCTAGTTGTCACTCGCCTTACTGCCTGGTTTATTAATATTTGCTTGAGTTAGACTGATAAACCTGCCTCGCTGATATGCTGGACAACATTACTGCAAGTTATACTGTGATCAGAACGTGTGGTGATGGGTAAACACAAAAGAAAATGCAGTCCAGAAACTACATGTATGAGGTCATTTAGAAGCAGTACAGGCTTGTACAGCAAGAACAGGTGACTGGCTTGTTTTTTTTAACTGCATAAAGTACAGTTCAATACACATCTTGATCCCAGTTCCTCAACATGTATAAGAAATAAGCTGTTCACGTAGGGCTATGTGCTCGTGTACAAAAAGAACCCTCAAATGGCTCATCAGAACTTCATCAAAAACTGATATGCGACTCAAAAGCACTCATCTAGCATCGTAATAATAACTATAATTTAGCTGAGATGCCAAATAGTTTGCAGCACCTCGCTCAAGTGACGGGGGCTGCTGCCTGAACACACACTGGCTGTTGTGTTGTCGTCTCAGCTTTAAAAACTGTCATCTTCCCCGGCGCCAACATCGCAACCTAAATCAACAAAGTCTTGACATTTATACGAATTTAAAACACAACGAACTCCAGCCAAGCTGATTACTACATCGGCTAAAACTGCTGCGCTTAACTTCGACCGTCTAAACGCACAAAAACAACAGGAGCAGGGAGTTAGCTCCGAGGCTAAAGCTCGCCTGTAATAACGATGAGATGAGTTAGCAATGCTAACGTCGGCTAACACAAAAAAATACTCAAAAGAAACAAAGAACATGATGGCGTTCTTACTAACAGCGAAAAACAACGTCCACTCCGTCCTGTAAACAGGGAGTTGTGGCGGTGTCGTTCCTCGTTAACGACGTTTTATGCTTTTCCCTTAAAACACTTTCAGCTTCAGTAAATTAGACGCTTCCGCCTTGTGTAACCAAAACACTTCCTGTATTCGTCAGTCATGTGACGCAAAGTCACAGCCAATGAAATGGGAGGAGAGCAAGACGTCAGAAGTAGCCAGCTTAAGGACGAGCAATAAAAAATCTTTTGTTTTGAGAAAAAAATAATGTATACATGCACACTTACAATGAGTTTTTGAAAAAGATTGATTAGTTGTGCAAATCATATTTTGCAACAATATACATTTATATAAATATATTTAAATTCAGGCAGACCTTTTTTAACCCAACTATGACTAAAACTCTCAGGAAAAAAATACCACTGACAAAATTTAATTCTGGATGTTTAATATGTAAAGATCACAGTCAGATTTTTCATGCTGAAACAACTACTGTAATAGCCTACTTGTGTGATTGCATTGGTAAAAATAAAATCCACAAATAAATGCAAACATTTGAAACATTCTTGCAACATTTTCATCTTTTAAGAAGATTTTTATTTTTTTTTAAATGTAGGTCAAATTTCTAGTCATCTTCACATCACATAAGAGCTATTGAAACCGCACACGGTGGCATAAACTCAATGAGTTTTTCTTTTTGGACATTGTATCATATTTTTGCCACATGGTGGTGCAATGGGACAATAAAAGAGAAAACTCAGCAGATTAAACCAAAACAATCTTTGACTAATGTTTTCGGACTATTTACTCAAATAATATTTATACAATGATACAAAAATGTGACGATATCAAGTGTAAGTTTCAGCACTTGATGTGTTCACTGCTAAAACTTGTCTTTGTCTGTTTCTTGTCCAGATTGAAAGTTTTCTTCATGATGCACTCGTTTGCAACAAGTGATTGTAAGTGAAGTCACCTGAACAATTACATGCACATTGTTTTTAAAAATCATCACAAAACAAAACAACAAACGGGAAAGTGGACTAAAATTGCAACGAACTTGTCTTTATTATGACAGTGCTAACATTTAGAATGCATAGTAAATTGTGAAGATGTTGGAGCACGATATCCATTTATCTGTTGCACAGATCAGTGGTGCAGCAAGAGGTAGTTATTAGTCCGGGTTGATTCATAAGCCTGCAGTTGCTGGCCGAATAGCAACCCTGGGCGGAAGTTGCATCTGTAAAAGAACAGAAAAGCTTCTTATTAGAAGAAATGACTCTGAACTGGTCCAGGTAACATTGTTTAGCTGAACAGTGCACTGAACTCAGGCTGGTACTTACCAAAATGAAAGACGATACTGGCACAGACTTGGTCAGTACCGTAGCACGTCTCTGTTTTGCTTGAACAGATCTTCCGGCCTCCACAGTAACATCTCAAGGCTTCACCTAGGAAAAGAAAGAGAAATGAATGTTAAACCATTGCATAGAAACCGGCATTTCATTTCGCCTGTTACATATTTAGCTCTAAACTCTAAAGAAAACATCAAAAATATACAAGAAAACAACATATTCAATCACAAAACTTCCAGAATCCTTCAAACCTGCTTATTTGGTGGACAGATTGTAAATATACAAACACATATTTATTAAACGGACTGTTTGCAGGTTAACTCACTCTGACTGACAACCACCAAAAGCAACAGAGCAAGAATAAGAGTCTTCATGTTTTCACAATTCTTCTTCTTCTCTCTTTACCAATCTCTGTGGGGAAAGAAAAGTGGAGAAATAGGAGAAGATCAAGTTCTGCATTTGTTCAAAAAACAGCTTTGTGAGCTTCCCTATAATCCACATATTTAAAAACAGTAAACACATCTCACCTGGACAGTGATCCTGCTGTGTGCCAGTCGGGTTTCCAGCCTCCTCTTTTATTTGGCCGTGTTGCACAATTGATGCAAATCCAGTATTTCATTAACTCTGAAATGGTCTTCAGGGTTTAATACACACACACACACACACTGTGCTTTATCGAGGTCAGACAGGTGCCTGGAAAAAACCCACCATGACACCATTGATTTACTAGCAGAACATACAAACATGTTTTGTTTGTCATATGTCTAAAAACAGCTGACTCAGTGTTTGATTGGTTTCAAAGTCTGCATCAGACTTTTTCCAGTATAAAGAAATCTGTAAAGCATATTTGCAAGAGGGTGGCCCAGTTGG